ACGCGCCCAAGCGGAAGTGCGTGCATAGGTACACCGATGTGCATAGGTGTATCTGTCGAAGAATAGTAATATTTCAACAAGACAGGCTTGGGTTCCAAGAAAAGCCGTGTGGATGAGTTTATTTTATAGGGAGTTATACTTTATCGTTTGCTTTAGCCAATCATTCAGACCAACAATGAATGACCCAAGAATCTATCGAAGGAAACATAAGAAACATGTTTATTTATCGAGGAATCTAATTGAATCCTAGAATCGAAACTTTATATTTGTCATACATTTTATATTTATCTTAAATTTTATATTTAGTTTTATATTTTATAAGAGAATCTAAATCTTATAAAGCATTTAATTATTAAAATATACAAAATTCAAAAAATTTTTAATTTTAATTTTATTACGCGTGCTAAATTCTAGATTTTTTTAAATTTGCTCAACCGAAAAGCGGAGGCGGAAGAAAAGATTGAGCGATCGCGTAATCAGATGCTGACGTCACCGCGATGATTTCATCCGCGTTTTCAATGCACGTGTCATGAAGTCGCGTTCGTGAGCAGAAACATAATCGTTGCAAGAACGTTGTGTTTTTTTAACCCCTGCCAATGGTTTTTCCCAGATTGCTTTTGCATCTTCGTTTGAATGCAACAATACTAAAACAATAATGTCGAGAGTTAGAGTTTCGGAGAATCATACTTTCTATATGCATTACGGGATGCATTACCAACTGACAGGATTAAACCTTGCATCAATAATCGCGATATTGCATTACTTGTTATTCGATAAAAATATATGACACAAACGAGCATCTGGCAGCGAGGCAAACATTTGGGTAAACGTTTCTCGTCGAGCACGTCAGTCGATGATGTCATTCGCCGATCGTTTCGCATGTACGTAAGCCTCTTCTATTCATTGTAACTATAGTTCTACAAAGTTACGTCATTTTATCGCTGTAAAGCGACAAATTCTCACGAGAATAACAATTTACACTCTTATCATTTGCACGCATTAAGTTCTTCTCGTGTTATCTTATCGATAAATATTGTTATAAAATTATATCACAACGAGTATCAAACAATACATGTTTAATATTTTGCTTTATAATAGTCAAAATTGCGAGGAGATACATTTTCAATTTTTTTATTTTATCTTGAATCTCTTTTTGCTTTTAATTTTGATTTTTGCATATCGAATATAAAGAACTTTATGAAAGTATTCTCTTACAAGGCACGACATATAAATCGAAGACACAATTTTTTCTTTTTATTGATTTATTGTATTATTGTATTGCGTTTTATGCGCTCGTTCGTATTAACATGTCTGATACTCACAAGAGTAGATTTATCGCAAACCGTCTGTGCTTCGTCTACATTATGCGAATGGCGAGATTTATTCCGCTCTCGAGGCGAAGCCTGTTTCGGTCGTGCAGCACGCGGTCGACGCCGTACCGCAAGCGAGCACAACCGTGGATGGCGGCAGGGCATGCAAATTTATCAATTTAGCGCGCCCCGACGCACTCAAGTGCATTGCATCATTGCACCGTAATCGCAGCGGAACCGGCGGCCATCGTTGTGCGTAATTCGTCGTCGCACTATTTAACCTCACGTCTCTCAAGTGCATAAAATGTACGATCAACCTATATAGGTCAATATATGACATATTAATTAAATATTCTTATCGCTTTTGATTATATAAGAATACATTATTTATAAAAATCATTTTTTTAATCTCTCGTATGTATCAATTTCTTGTCGTATTCTTTTTCTTATCTATATCTTATCGATAAATTACTGCTATAAAATTACATCATCATAAGTGCTATAAACTTTCATCATCATAAGTCAACAGTAATTTTCGAGAGCGCAAAAATAGCAATAAAAATGTCTCAATTCTAACTATACATTTATATACAGTATTTTATATTATCTTCAATCATATACATATATATATATATTGCATTTATTGAGAGTATTTTTCAAACTCTCTCGACATCGCAGAATAAATTGGTTAACGAACTATTTGAGATATTCAAATTTTTTGTCTGTTTTTATCAGAAACGCAGACAGTCAGTATTCAGAAATGCGACAGTCAGTGATTATTTATCATGCGAATAAAAACGTGATCGCACGTTTGCCTTCATACGGCCTTGACGACCGCAATGCAAGGTGATGTGGCTCACGCAGGTGATAAACGCAATCGAGTTATCGCACGACGGTTGCCCGGTCGCTGAGTAATCGAGCGGATAAGACGGGTTCTTAATTCTCCGATGCACCATGGGGTTCAAAATGACCCTGCATATAGTCGTCTTATCACTCGTGCAGTCTTAAAAATATTGGCACGCTAGAGTTCTATTTTGTAAGCCTTGCAATAATTTTATCAGATTATTGCGAGTACCGTGCGTGCGATATCAGCCTGACTTCTCTTGCACTGTGTTTTACATCAATCTGTTAAGGAACTTTTACAATATAGCAGCTCATAAAAAGTGTTTAAAGGATTTTATTTCCTTTGTTGATTAATTCTCATATAATACTGTAAAATTGATAGTTTCCATCACTTTTTTATAACGAAATAATAGTTTTACTAAACATGGTACACAATTATTTTTTTCTATTTATTTCAATTATACTTTTTGCTTTAGAATTATTTTAATCTTATAAAAGTTATGCGATGCAGTATCGATATTAATGTTGAAGCTCGATCAGATTATTTCAGAAATTGTTATTTAATCAATTTATTTTTCAATTAATAGGGATTATGATATTGTATTGTGATAATAATCGGTACAATCTACATATCAATCTCGCCGTTGATAATTAAAATAGCTTAAGAGTCCATCGCATGAAATCACCCCTGCCAAGCTGGCCCCCCCCCCCATCTTGCACAAATAAAAAAATTAGCGCAAAATTATAAGCTATTTATGAGCTTTTATATTTCGCAAATTAAAATTTTTGAGCATGAATTTAATGTTTTTTGTGGGGGGGCTGAGTCGATATCAGCCCCCCCACCGCTTAAAAATAAAAATATTGGATCAATCTTTGCGGTAGAATTAAGAGCTATTTATGAGCTTTTGAACTGATATAGTTTCGATTTTTAAGCTCACCCCCTTAGTCCTCAAACCACCCTTAATTGATGGAACTCAAGAGAGAAATACTAGAAAAAGAAAAAATACATTATATTTCAAACGTGGTATAAAATTCCAAGAATAAACCTTTAAAATATGCGCATTTTGATTATTGAGTTGCAACTCCTTTACAAAAAAACCACCTTTCATCTTACCTCTGTAAAGTTGGCCCCCCATTTTTCAAAATTGAAAAAAATGATTGATGAGTTCTGGATGCCTCTCGAGAAGTTCTAGAGTTCCCAGACCATTTTAGAAAGAGTTCTGCCATTTAAAGTAAAGAAAACACCATTTGAAAAATCAGGGGGCTAACTTCACGGCGCCCCCCATTATAGTAAAAAATCCAAATTTTTTTATAGTTTTGAGTAGTATTTCAAATAGTTCTATAGTTCTAAATAAGTTTCAAAAATAGTTCTGCTCGAATACTACGTAAAT